TAACTAAAAGATCTGCCTCCCATTCTACTTTTAGAAATTCTAGGAACCACTAGTAAACCGAATTACCATGTTAGGAGTACTTCACTGTTCCTTATTGTAGCCTAGAACCAGTGATGGGCAGTAGCGCCGCTACATGTAGCGACGCTATTAGTTTTTTTGTCTACTAGTAAATACTTTAGTTTTTTTTATTATGCTGATCATAAAACAATTTTGACACTGTGTTATGTCATTGGTTGATCTTTAATTAATGTTTTAACCAGTGTATCAGACTCATTTTGAATTGACATTAGCTTGGTACAAGTAGCTTCTGATGTAGTTAAGCTACTGTTAACACATTAGTGTAACTTAGCTTGCTATAATTCTTTAGGTGGTAGCTATGATGGAGGGAAGCTTAATTTATTGTTGAGTAACTGATAGCTTAGCTCACTACACTGGACAAGTAGCTTGCCCAACACTGCCTAGAACCATAAAGATAAACGACCTACATATATTTTCAAGCCTTAACTAAGTTATGATGTCACGAATGGAGCTGCCTCTATGCAATTTTCATTTTTTCTTCTAAAATCTAGTTTTGGAATTCCTCAGAGGTCTTAAATAACTCGGGATGTTTCCCAGAGTGTAAAAGTCATGAAATCTTTTTTAGAATTTCTGACCATTTTTCCTGCTGTTTCGATTGCCTCAGAACCACTTCCTGTCCGCGCTGCTTACATATCGGACTACAAGGAGGCGCCAGAGACTGGCGTGGTGTTCGACATCGACCCGCCGATCAGAACGGTCTTCAGCCGAGTGAACATCAGCTACACTGAAGGACAGGAACGTCGCTACATGCTCTATAAAGGTGAACCTGCTTACTGGTTCTTAAAGATGATAAGGGTTGTCTACTTTAAGAAAATCTAAATTGGGTTAAAAAAATGAATCTGTGTTGTAATTTCCTATCTAACCAGATGATGGCAGTGCTGTCCACTCCCCAGCTCACAGAAACTTGAAGTTTAATTAGCAATAATAGGATATTTACCTATTGTATGACATCGAGGTAAAAGAGAAGAGACCGTAGAGTCATCCGTGAGGAACTCCGGACTCAGTTGGGTCTATAGTCTGGCCGTTTGCCCAATATGTTGGGAAATGTTCTGAGATTCATGAAAGTAACAGGAATTAGCTTACTCATTACCGAACAGCTACACTTTTTGGTGCAGTGTTGCTTCAGCTGGTAGTTTATGTTTATAAAAGATAATAGTTATTTTCCTTTAGGTTATTTGAAGTTGTACGGAAATAAGAGATTGATGAATTCAGGACCTCTCCATGTTTCCTGCTTATTTATTCTGCTTGTCTGCAGATTTCTACAAAGGGAAGACGGTGTTCAAACACTGGTTACCGGGAATGTGTTACCGGAACATCACCTTCCAGCTCATCTCTGAGGCCACCGTGTTCCAGACAGCGCTGGTCACCCACAGCGACATCACTCACACACCACTGCATCACCGCACAGGTAAGAAACAGCCGTCGGACCCGACCCTGGCCCGGTCCCAGGCCAGGACTTATCTGGGTGTTTGTTCGCTGCAGAAAAACACGTCCAGAGTCTGCTCCCTCAGAACCACAGCCCTTCTGCTCAGGAAGGGGATCTGCTGCAGACTGATGTGCTGTTAAAGGTCATCGTCTCAGAAACACATTAATGAGGTCGCTCCATCAGGCTCCTCCTGCATTATTGATCTCCTGTAATCACATCAATGCTGCCGCTCCTCATTAGAGAGCAACAGGACTCACATTCTGGAAGATGAGTTTCACCGACCTGCAGTCACAGACAGCTCTCAGAAAAAAGGCTGTTTCCAGGTTGTTTCTAAGCTGTTTTTTCCAGGCTGTTTCTTGACTGTTTCCTGACAGTTTCCAGGCTGTTTCTAGATTATCCC